TATATATATATATATATATATATATGAAATATCTATGACGCTGATTATACTCTAATTTGAAGTTTTATGCTGCACCTTTCACTACACATTAGGACATACACCCACACGCACTAGCTGCTTCGATAACACTGATGACACTAAATGATAATGTCAACACATCGGGATACGTATGTCTTGGAATAGGGTGCTCTTCCCCAGAAGGAGGAGCTGACACTGATTTATAACCCATTATCTCCTGAGAGGGGGTGGCATGACTTCCTGATCCCACGGGAGACAGAGGGCGACCCAGCACTGCTGCTTCTACTGGACCATAATTTTTGTGCTTCGTGTTTGTTGTATTTAATATTCAAAGTTTCGTGTATTGGAATTTAATTTGGATACATCATCACCTATAAATATGATAAGAACCGGGGAGTAGGAATTCCATCGTGGATACTTTTTTTCTAACGAGACTACAGACTCTCGGGGCCTTGTCCAGGAATTCCTGACAACGAGAGCCAACTCAGCATGTCGGGTGTGTAGAATGAGTGTGTCAAAAGATGACAAACAACACTAATGATTATTATTAAACTAGGGCAGTCGAAGCTCCAAGGTCCAAATTACTTATGTCTCAAAAGTACTGATGTCGGATGAGCAAATCCTATGAGACTTCAGATCAGATAACATCTCAAGGATAAAACTGTATTTTGCTTTTTTGTCGGCCTTTTTAGTGATGATACCACAAAAATAAAGCAGTCATGACAAAACCAGAAATTTAACTTATTTGACATGAGAGAGTCATGTTGTTCAGATGAAATTTAAAGAACTATGCATGTGGGATCTACTTGATTTATGCCACAATGGTGACTTATGTATCATATTTGGACCAAATTTAATGGTCCCTAATGCATCATATTTCTATATCTTCCTTCAGTCTGCCATTCCTTCAATATTTTAAAAAAAGGCTGACTTAGTGCATGTTTATTTACAGTCACCAAATGGGCAACTTGATAAATGATCCAAAATGTGTTTGTTTTTGTGTTGTAACCTTTTACTCACAGATGAAGAAGTTCCAGGGTTTAGCCTTTTAAACACAACAAGAAAGGTAAATATCGCCTTTTTATCCAACCTATTTCTTTCGAATCATCTTGGAAAAAGACAACATTAAGCTCTAGCTAGTATATGGAAATTAACCTTTTATGTACGCGGTGTGCCATAAAAGGTGTATTTCAAATTGACAAGTTTTGTCCCCTGGAATCTAACGCACTTTCCGTGCCTTCTCCGCCACACATTCATGCACTCCAGGAGGGAATTTTCTGGGATCTCCGCAAGACATGCCGTACTCATTGTATCTTTCTTTGAGTTGCAAACCTTGCATGTTGCCAACCCCCCCCCCCCCGATTGTATCAAAAACGTCTTCATTGAATACAAATGTAATAATCCTCGGAGCCGCTTCCATGATTCTTGCTTTCATGAGGCGGCCTCTGCACTCTGCATCATAGAATACTGGTGAGTTGCCAGGTTTGCGCACACTTCACAAAATAGAACTTTTCTTTCAAAAACAAAACAAATGGAATACTATCTTGAAAATGCAGATTTCCAAATCCAAATAGGCAAGAGGTGACCGAAGTCTAAATGAAGTTTCATGAATACCAAGTTGAGTATTTAATAAGATTGAGCAAAGCAAGTCCTCAACTTGGTGACTCAAGTCCATAAGTGTCAACTCCAGGTCCAGAAAGTAAAAACCCTGTCACATTTTGGCTGTAACTACAGATGGATCTTCTTACCTGCTGATTGAATCGATCTGGATTTGCCATCTCTGCTTAAGTCTGTCTTTGAGTCAAATCATTGGGCTCTTACCCACTTCTGCTTTGTAGTATGTGAAGCCAATGGACTTTTGCGAGGAGGTGCGCGCCCACAGAGATGTGGACACTTTCCTGGCCCAGGCAAGCATCCTACTGGATGAGGGAGCAACCACTTTGGACGGCGTCCTGAGGCAGATGCTGAGCAGCATGGTGGAGGATGGCTGCACAGGCTGCGACGTGAACCAGGTCCTGGACTTACTGTTCACAGATGCGGGAGGGAAGGAGATGGATGGTAAGTAAGCAAAGCATGAAATGAGACAAGTGATTTGGAATTGAATCATTCCAACTTGTTTTTTTTTTTTTGTTTTTTTTTTGTACGCCAACAGTTCACCTGCTGTCAGAAACCATTCAGGGGGTGACCGTGACATCAACAGGCATTCATTACCAGCAATCATGGCTTTGTATTCTGTGAGTTCATATTCTGGTAATTGACTAGTAGCTCTGTGCCCCACAAATTTCAGCAGAGGTTGCCACTTTGCTTTCTTTTCAATGTGCGCTTTGAAATTATTATTTCGTAACAAAGTTAATGGGCCAGATTTACTAAGATGTTAAATAGTGGGCGCTAAAGTGCACATTCACTCACGTTAACAGTTTGCATGCACTGTGCAACATGCAAAAGCGGTGGAGGTCAAAGCATTTAAAAGAGGATCTTGCACTTATGGTAGCACTGATAGTTTTCACCACAGAAGATGTGGGAGAACACATGAAACACTTGCAATGAAACTGCAAGTGGTAAACAAACAAAGATATTATCAAGTTACAGAAAAGAAATCTATCACTCACAATTTTGGGGAAGCCACCAACCACATAAAATACACATTTAGTTTGATTTATCTTGCCCGAGTGCATGACAGTTGGATGTATTGACCCATCCCGTGTAATACCAGCTTTAAAACAGCACACTTGAAAAACTACCTTGGGAGAGGCCAGCACCCATTTCTCACCATACGCTGAAATGACCAAAATGCAAGCAAATATAGAGATGAAAGAGGTTTAATCAGAGGTGATATTGCATGACTCCTTCTTATGAGTGGCTCCAAACTGGCCTTAGATCATTTCGAAGCCCCAAAGTGCATATCACGCAATTTTTTGTTTATGGCGCTACCCAAGCTCAATGTCACCTCTCATTATATCAGTGCATCCTCAATGTTGCAAGAATGCACTTGCTTCTCAGACATTGTATTTAAAGACACAATTCAGCCATTCAGCACTTTGTTTCAGAATGTGCAAAATTTACTGCATGGTAATTTTGCCCATTTACCAAATATAATCCAGGGTGCCCCCTGTTAGTAGATCTGTCAGGTTGGAAATGAACCGATTAATGTTTTTAGGATCCCAGAATCGTAGACACCAGACAAAACTCCATAACAAAAAAAATATTTATTCACTAAAAACACACCGACAAAGTAGAAACAGAAATCGCTGGTCAAAAGTAAACCAGGGAAAGGAAACAATACATTAAAAAAAGTACTTGCAAAGGCAAGGAAATAAGTAATCCGAGAATGCCAAACAAAATGCCAAAAGTCCAATTTACTTGACAAAACAAAAGCAAGATCGAATAATGAAAACTAAGGCTATACTTACGAAAAACACAAAACCACAAGAACGAGAAATTCGAGAGCAAGAGCGAGAGTTCTAGAAAATGAGAATTTGAGCAATAGCAGCAGCAAGGTCAACAATAATCCGACAAAGTGCTGACAGTTTGTCAGTCTTGAAAAACATGGCTCCACGATGACAACATTGGCAGCAGGTGTGCACGCTGGAGGATTGGCTCCAGTCTGCTACCTGCTGGGGACACAAGAACATGACAAGATCAGCGTCAACATCTGTTTGAGCTATTTCAACAGTCTGTGCATGTGTTTCAAGACCACATTTTAAATTCTGTGCACCTAAATTACACCACATTGAACTGTGCAATGTGCATCTGTAATATATCATAGTTAAGCTGTATTTACTGTTAGTGGATTGCATTTGTGTTGCAATAACTATTTACAATATAACAAACATTGAAGTAAAAGACATGGACTTCGTGGCTGTACTTAAAAAAAAACTAACAACAAAAAACCTGCTGTTCTCACAGTGTCTGATTTCATATGTATCAAAAGTGTTCACATACTGTCTATTGTTCAGATGCAGTGTGAGTGGCCTGCAGAGACGCCACGTTTGCATCGCACGGCTGGAGAGGCCGCAGAATTGGGGGGTCAACTGCTGCGAGGCGCGCTATGTCATCCTGATCCTAGCTCCACCCAGAACCGTAAGTACACTAGACCAGTGTTTCCTAACCACTGTAGGCCCTTTTCCACCTCGCTTGTGCTAGTGCTAGCGCTAGTTCCGGGCCTGTGCCCAGGTTAGCACCAGTTCTTTCTTTTTCCACCACCGAAATTGGCCCGAGCTCTTGCTCTGGTGCTTGAAAACGATGCTTAATATGGCCCCAATTATTTGTTGGATCAGACTGTGGCACCAACCACGTCAGGGGGCGGGAGGCGGCGCGATCGCAGATGTAGAGGAATGACTCCCTGGACACACAGATTATTTTGCACAAACTGTTGAGCGGTAAACTCCGGCTCAATTTTGTCCCACCCGGAGAGCGATCGCGGATGTGCACAGATAGCATGCGATCTCCAAGTCATAGCCAGTCTCGTGATCATCTACAATGATTAAGAAAGATGTTTGCTGATTGCATGTGCCTGACTGTTATGTACTACACACGACAAAAAAAGTATAAATGATGCTATGCTAAGTTGCCTAGCAGATGCTTACAGCGCATTATTATTAAAATATTATTATTATTATTATTATTATGATTATTATTATTATTATTATTCATAGTGCAGGCGCTTTTGAGTAAACGTTGACGGAAGCATTGACATTTGAGCACTTTACAATGACATAATGACGTAGCTCCTACTTGGCGCTTTGCCGGTGGAAAACCAAATACGTTATTTGTAAGAACTTGTTAAGCACCACCTAAGCACAGCACTGGCCCTGTCGCCGAATGAGCACCAAGTTTTTTGGGGGGTAGAAAAGGGGTATATGAGAGATCATCATGTGTGCACAGTCAGCCAGTTTCACTAAATCGGTTGGTCTTAACTGGAGCAAAAAGGATTTGTTATTTACTTCAAATAATGTACCGTTAGCTATGCCAGTGATGTATTGTGACATGCAGAACAAAAAAAAATGCTCTTCCCCTGGATGGCACAAGGTACAATTAACCTTGTGGCCAATCATACAACCGAATAATTGCTTTGTGCTCAACTACACAGGCCCAGATTACATACAAAGTAAATGTGTTAGTAAAATGAGATAAGATCATCCTTATTTATTATAGAGTAATAATCGACTGAACCCTCGACTGACCAGAAATAGCAAAAAGCCCTGAGTAAATGACACAGGTGCAGTTCTACCAAATGAAGTCGTATTCACAATATTCGGTATGTTTCATAGCCAACAAACATCCTTGGAACATTCCCATGTTCCATCGTTCACAGAAAAGTACCAAGTCAGCCATTGAAGTCGGACGAACATTCGCCACCATGTTCTCGGACATTTCCTTCAGACAGAAGCTTCTGGAGAAGAAAACCCTGGAGGAGTTCAAACAAGAGCTGATCCGGCAGCGACAGCAACTCTCTGCGATCAGAGACAAGGTGGCTGTCGACGAAGTGGATGACTTTGATCCACGGAGAGGCAAAGAACTCAAGGTAATTGGTGGAAAAACCACAGGGCAGATGACACAAATGAAAAAATTAAGTTAAACGGGAAGCCAATGGTGCTCAAACTGGGATCCTTTGACCCCCTGAGGGTCCATGAGCCATAGCTCGGCATTCCGCAGCATCATATAATAAATGTTGTATCCTAAAAAAAAAGAAAAAGTATATGTGTGTGTGTGGGGAGGAACCACGATGTAGGTACCTAAAGGCATTGTCTGGCTTGCCTGCCCTGTTTTTATGTCCACTGGAGTGTGAACCCATGGTGTCAACAATAAAACAACATGTTCAAAACAACATTTTATCTTTCTATTGACATTTCATCTTTAGCGCTCCAGTGAGACATGCAATCAAATCAAATGCCAAATGATGTGATTATCCTGATTCCAAAATCGACTGATCAGGCCTGGGTAATGAGATTTAGATTGTTTGGAGGAATGGCTGCCAAACCCGCCTGGCAGCAGAATGAGCGCAGACCCATATAATGACAACACACCAAACACTTCATTTTGTCCACTGCATACATTTGTACCAAACACCTCAAACAGTTCCCCCAGGAGAAAGCTTGTATTTGGGTTGTTACACTGACAGACTTTTGGTTCCGCGATGAAGATGGTTGGACGTTTGCTAAAAAGCTTTGACAAAGAAAGGTCGTGCAGTGGTTGGCAAAGCTGCCGATTGAGACCATATTTAATGGTCTGCACATTTATTGTACCGTATTTGACCAAAAGATTTGTGGATGGTATATGGCGATATGCACAGTTTGATATACTGTATGTGCTTTATATTGTCTAATGCACCATGTTTAGGCCTTATATATAGAACCTGTGCAACTCTAATGCATAAATTTTAGACCATACGGTCTCTATCTGGTCATATACGATATTTGAATATCCCAACCTTATTTGACTTGTGTACCCCTGAACCTTTTTGTCATCGGATGAATACCCCCTCGCTCATACACGTTGGCGTTTCTCCAAAAGCAGAATGTAACACAAGTGATTATGAAAAGAAAATTCATTTAATTTTGTTTCCTTAATTTGAACATTTAATTCTGAGGCGGTGTCTTTTTTCATTCAAATTAAACATACAAATCTTTATGTTGACTTGAATAGAAGTAATATAAATAAAAAATACACATGAATCATCATCAAAAATAAACATGCCTCGGTTATACATAGTTCTTATGACATTTACCACAAAAAAAAGAGCTCTTTTGAATGAACAGGCATTTCAACTTTAAATATCAGGAACCAAACAGACCCACGTTTGCAGTTTAACTTTGTTTTCATCATTTCATCAGAATGTAATGAGACATGACTTGAGACTAGAATTGACATTTAGATTGTTTGGAGGAATGGCTGCCAAACCCGTCTGGCAGACGGGTTTGTCAATTCAAGAGACTTGAATTGACATGCGGCTGTTGCGATTTTGACATGGCAATGCCGCATGCTATTGATCTGGGAGATAGATTATTAAATATTTCGACATATCCCCTGCAATGTGCTCACGTAACCCCTGATTGGGAAACACTGTTCTCATGTGTCATAATTAGACCACGTTTAATGGTCAGGTAATCTTAAATATACTAGATTTAGATCACATTTAATCTAGTACTCTGTGCACCAACAATATACATACATATCTGCATTTGTAGTGTAACATGTTTAGATTGTATGTATTGTTCTTTGTACCGAAAAACTGTTAAAACATTAGACAGTATTTAATGGTCTGTGCACCTTTAATGGACCATATTTAATGGAGTGTGTACCTTTGATTTACCATATGTAATAGTTGATCTGTGCATATGATAGGTAATCAAAACGTAATGGTCTGTGTATCTTTAATGGATCGTATTTAATGGTTGGTGCTTATCTAATGTATTTAAACCACATTTAATGGTCTGGGCCCTTGTTATGTGCCAAATGTTGCCAAAATTGAATTCAATGCGATCTCAGCTATGTCGGTCGCATTGTGTGAGACCATTCTGAATGGATAAGAGAGGTGGGATGGAGTATGTCACAAATTCTCGTAACAAGTGCGAAGTCAGTCAAGTCTTAACCCCAAAGTTTCAAGCAGCTTCCAAATTACTGTGGCAAATTTCAAGCGAATCAATCAAGTTGTGGTAAGTCATCACTTGGGTGAAGTGAGTTATAAGTCAAGTCAGACAATCTTGCTGAATCATGACACGTGTTTGATTTGCACATTAACTATTGTGCACTCAGTAGCCGTACTTATGCCAGTTAGCTGAACTAACACTTTCACATTCTGATTCTTTTTGATGATTGAAAACCAGTTTTGGAATTGACTGTTACTTTATTATTTTTTCACGCAAATGCACAAGTGACAAAGCTTTGTTTCTGTTTGACTAGCTATTGGTTAGTTAAACTGGAACATTACTGTAGCTAAGCTGTTTTTCAAACGGTTTAGCCAAGTCCTAAAATTGGTGACTTAAGTCTGACTCGAGTCAAACTGTGTGACTTATGACTGAATACCTGGACGGTTAAGCTAAAGTTTGCTGAATTCAATAGCTCTTCAACTTGTGTGCTTACAATATACAAAACATCCTTTGAATGTCCTGCCGTGCTGAAGATTTTTTTTTCTTCCCCGTTGTAGTGTAAAGATTTCTTCAAAGCCGGTAAAGGTGTTTATGATGACCTTCGCCGCCGCCTACCGCTCTACCCTTCTGACTTCACAGATGGTAACTAACCTGCTTTTGGCTCTCATAAGTGTTGTGCTTTAAAAGCACTCCTGTAAAGGTGTTTTCATTTGTTTTTTTCTTTTACAACCTACCCTGAATGAAGGTATAATCGGGAAGGACCGCTCTTTGCTGAAGTACACCACTACGGCTATTTTCCTTTACATCGCTATTCTGCTGCCAGCCATCGCCTTTGGTTCTCTCAACGACGAAAGCACAAGAGGGGAAATAGGTAGTGACTTCAAAAACACTTCAGAGTTGCCGACACTAAATAACACTCCAGACCACAGTTGTCAAAATCAATTCCCAGGGGGCCAGATCCAGCAAATAAAGTAAGCCAAATTCATGTTTCTTGCTTCATGGATTTATTCATTTCATTTTTGCTCAAAATCTATACCTGTAGCGACCTTGCAATTGGTCTCGACTTTTAGCATATGTCACAATCAAATAAAGTGAACAGTAGTTGTAGTCCAGTAGAGTGTGGCCACTGAGTTTAATTTCTTGAACAGATGTTCAGAAGACCATTGTCGGCCAGAGCATCGGAGGCGTGATCTACTCCCTGTTTGCCGGTTCGCCACTCGTCATTCCACTGACCACTGCCCCTTTGGCCATCTTCATAAGTGGTGCGTATTGATACTCATCTACCAGTGAGATATCGAAAGAGGTAGGAGTAGATTGCACATGTGCTAGTCATCAGTTAGTCTCACATCTTAGGCCCGCCGCATACCGAGCGACGAGGAAGAACGCTACTGAACTGGACAAGTGCAAACAAATGACAGTCGGTGACTCACACCAGCTCATCTGGTGACTGACCCTTGCACACATACCAACTCTCTGCAACAATAAAACTGCGAGCTCTTGTGTCATATTACGCCACGGCGCTCGGTGTCCGGCGGGCCTTAAACTTCAAGTTTCAAGCAAGTCCCAAGTTACTGTGAAAATTAAACCAAGCAAGCCAAATCGAGTCCCCACTAAACTTCAAGCGAGTTGAGTGAGGCCATTGCTTGCGTTAAGCGAGTTTTAAGTCAAGTCATACAATTTTGCTCAGTCACAGCATACTGTCTATTTGCAATTTTGCATTCAGTATATGTACTGTACTGTACTACTGTAACACAATCGCAGTCATGTTTTTTCAGAGGTACCAATACCAGTTTGCTTATTGTGTATTGCTGCATTTTATTGTTTCTCTATTAAACACGTAACCATCAAGAAGCTATTAAGTTAAGATTTTGCATCGATGGATGAAGTTACATATGTCATTTTGAGTGTGTTTCTCTTTGACTTGGAAACCTTGAATGTTGCCGTTCTCTTCAAACATATCGTCCTTGAATACAAATATAATAGTCTTTGGTGCTTCCTCCATCATACTCACTCCATGAGGTGGCCTCTGCACTTTGCATACCGGTGGGTTGCTAGATTTGTACACATGACACACAAAAAGAAGAACATTTCTTTCCAACACCAAAACAAACGACACGCTGTCTTATAAGCAGCATCATGTGAACTTACCAAGTCACGTACGGTAGTTTAAGCCTGAGATATATTGAGGCTTACGAATACGAGGACAAAGTCAAGTCGAGTCTTTCATCAGTTTTAGCCAAGCAAGTTCGAAAAGTCTGGTTGAAGTCAAACCAACTGACTCGAGTTCCCCACCTCTGGATGTTGAACCAACATCAGGATTGTTTTTTTTAACAACAGTTGGGTTTGATCATAGTTATCCGGGGCATCTGTGATGACTACAAGCTGGACTTTGACGCCTTCTACGCTTGCATCGGCCTGTGGAACAGTTTGTTCCTGATCCTAGGGGGGTTTTTCAACGTCAGCCTGCTGATGAAGCTCTTCAAACGGTGAGTGCACTCGCGGCAAAACACTGCACTGCTTTTCCACAAAGTTAGTCGCCTGGTGTGTTATCCATGAGATATTTAAACTCCTGTTTAAACATGTAACGCTTTCTCAATAAACCAAATTGTGACCTCAAAGCAAGGACTTTGATTTTAATGAGTGGATGTTATGACTCCCTTTTTTTACACCGTGGTGTTTCATTCCGCTGGGTTGTATTGTTATGTCTGTACTCTTGGAAATAACCCTGCCGTGGCTCTCTTTCTCCCAGCTCCACAGAGGAAGTCATTGCGTTGTTCATCTCCATCGCATTTGTTGGGGATGCAGTGAAAGGCACGGTTAAAAGTGAGTCCATTAAATATGTTTGTTTCATTATGGAGATTGACTTGACATAGCGGGGATGTTTTTGATTTTAGGGAAACCGTGGAAAAAAATATGATGCAATGATTCTTATCATCATCAACATTTGGCCGTTAACTGACCTTTTTTTTGTTTCTTCCTAGGCTCAAATGTCTAATCATTTACTGAAAATAATGGTGAATTTCTTTTCACAGTGGCAAGTGCTAATTCAATTGTTTTAACGTTGCTAAATTGATGAAACAATTAGTTTTTGTTTTTTTTTAAACACTGGAAAAATGTCTTTAATTTTATTTTGTCAGGTGGTTGCATGAAATAAAATCATCTGGATCGAGATCCATTTATTTACTACGTCTACCGAAAAAAATCCATCTACAAATCCAGAGGATTCTATGTGTGTGTGTGTGTGTGTGTGTGTGTGTAGGGCATATGAAAACAGACAACCAGTTCAGGGTGTCCCCCGCCTACTGCCGGGGATAGGCTCCAGCGCGCCCTGCGACCCCTGTGAGGATAAAGTGGATCAGACAATGGTTGGATGGATGAAAACAGTTTCCACTGTAATTAAGAGATGATATGTGAAGACTTTGAATTGAATGCAAGAAAATACATTCAAATGAATGTTTAAATAAAAACTTGCTCTTTCCTCAACACTTAGGAGTGTTAATTAAAATGTTTTGTTTTTGATGATTATGTTTTATTGAAAGTTTTATTTTAAACATGGATATGATGTTTTGCATCATCCATCCATCCATTTTCTAATCCACTTTATCCTCACAAGGGTCGCGGGCCACACTGGAGCCTACCCCAGCTGTTTTCGGGCAGTTGACGAATTATGTGTGTCTTCCCTCAAAACATAAACAGAGTGATTACAATGAAAACATATTTTCAAATGAATAATTAACAAAGGGGTACTTTTTCCTTGCTAGTTTTCAAACACTTCTTCCATGAACCCACGCTGGCAACTCAAAACAGCACAGTAGTCCTTCACCAGATCACAGAGGTTCTGGAGAAGATGAATAACCAGACGCCGGGCCTTCACAATGCCAACGGGGCCCTGACAGTGGACCACGCTGAGGGGCACGTCTCCGTCTTCCTGCCCAAGTCGCTGGTGATTTGCTCCAGAGAGATCCCCATCCTGTGCCTGCTGCTCATGCTGGGCACCTTGTGGCTGGGCTACGCCCTCTATCTTGTCAAGAGAAGGTAGGCCACTGACTGCAATCTGCCCAGGCCGTGCAACAAAAATAGTCAACAAATCAGCCTTACCTGATGACATTTTGCTGTAGTAGTGCTGGCCGCCTTGCATCTGATGCTCAAACTCAATAGGTACAAGAAACACCTTAACAACTGTTGGGGAAAAAATGATCAGTTCTACATCATGCATGCAAATGTGTCCTTTGAGCTCAACAAATCATGTCAGAATTCTTTAAAGTCATCGAAGTACTGTATCCTTTCTGCAAGTTGGAAGCGGCATTCACCGTGTGTACCACACTGCTACCTACCTGCCTTTTATAGGTATCAAGAGAATGCATACGTGTTGTGTGGGGTAAAACAAAGCATTTACGTCAATGTTCGCCTGGGTGAAAGTAATTTGCATGCAATTGAATTGGGCAGATTGGACTGACATTGTGGGACATGGAGGGAACACATATCCTGGAATCAGCGTAACCAAGAGAAATGAAGCAAAAATGAAGAAGCTACTGTATATAAGATAATAATGATTAAAAAAAGAAGGATAATAATAACATTTACAGGAAATCTGTTTGACGTGTGCAATAGCAAATATTGGAAATTCAAGTCAGTGCTTTTGATCAGGATTATAGCTCATAACATTTGACCACTATTAAAAATGTCTCTTTCACAGACCTACGAGAATACAGTGATCCCTCGCTATTTCGCGGTTCGTTTATCGTGGCTTCAGTGCATCGCGGATTTTTTCAAACCAAAAAAAAAAAAAATTTTTTTTTTAAAGTCCTCAAAAAGTCCACAAAAGGTCAGCGAGAAGCAGCGAAAGTCAGCAAAACAACAGCGAGTCACAAAGAGCAACACATACAGTACTACTTGTACCCACAGTGGCTCCTCTTGTTTTATGGTGAGAGGGAAGAAATTTCATCTGTGCTGTATGTTACACATACGTACAACACATTTGACAATAAAGTTGTATTCAATTCAATTCAATTCGAAACATGTATATGTTTACTGTATTTTGTTATTCATAAATGAACCTAATTTATACATGTTTAAATCTATTAGTATACAGCATTCAGTCATGTGAATTACTTCAAAATTTATTCTACATGCATGTATACCATTCAATTTGGCCTTATAAATATTATGTACATGTACCTATATAGGGGGCGGCGGGGTCACTACTTCGCAGATTTTTGTTTATCGCGGGTGGTTTTAGTCCCCATTAACCGGGATAAATGAGGGATTACTGTAATCCTTTGCATCAGTGGTTGAGGATTGTGTCTATAGCTTGAATACAACTGGATAACTATAGACATAAAGTGGATCATTTTATCCAGATGAAATCAAGTGGGGCGAATGAATAGCACAAGTAGGTTTCACGGCGCTTTTTTCCGCTTTATTTATTCCATCCGTCACCCGATGAGAGAGGAATATTTCACTTTCCACTGCACTCTATTTGTCTGGCAGCCACTGTGACCCATTTGTTTCAGCCACTTGACACGGTGCTGTGAAGGGTGAAAGAATTGTTTCTCTCTCTCGGCTTGTTCTGGTGAATATTTTTTATGTTACTGTAATAAAAACGGTGGCACAGTGATCTGTCTCACGATCAAGTATTCCCGCGTTCAGATCTCGGTTTTCCTGCGTGTCGCTTGCTGGGTTAGCCTTGTGCCAGCTTACCATTGACACGAATGCGTGTTATTAAAAATGGATGGAGTAAAGAAAGTGACACACCAATAGTAATTTCCTGCAAGGAAGAGGACAAATAATAGCATATCTGCAATGCAGCATACAAGGTCTTCTGACTTAGGTTGTAGTGAAGTTCAGGTTCATTCTAAAATTTCACCCAAAGGCCAAATACAGTATTCCCATCTGCAATTGTTTCTTGATATTGGGTAATGAGCCACATGCTGCTTCATCGAGTCAAAAGCCAAATACAAATCAAATGTGGCAGCCTGCTCTGATCAATTTCAACGACACAGCTGAATGATATCATTCCTTTCAGCCCATATATGAACGGCAAAGTCAGAGAAGTCGTGTCCGACTGCGCCCTGCCAATCTCCGTGCTGGTTTTCTCCTTCATTGGCTCCTACCTCTTCCTTGACATACAAAGTGAGTGCCGGTCTTCTTGACTTCTTTACCGTGTGACACATGTCTCATGGTTGGTTCGCTCCCTCTCGACAGTCCCCGTGTTCAGCGTCCACAACGGGCCCGTCTTCACCTACCCTCCCTTCGACAAGTTGTCGGGCCTGAACACCCTGAGTGCCGTGGGCCTCGGCTTTCTTCTTGCCCTGCTCATCTTCATCGACCAGAACATCGTCATTTCGCTCACACACGTACCGGAGCACAAGTAAGAGACTAGTACCAGCAGTCTCTTGAAAATGACATTATTCCCCAAAGGTTCTGCGACTGGTCTTTCTCCCTTCTGGGATTTGCTTTCTTTCTCCTGTTACCAAAAACGCTTTGAAACATTTTCCACTGCTTTTTTCCACTTGAATTAACTTGTCTCAACTTCCACAAAAGTCATAAAATGTGAAAATAAGTGTGAAAATGTCCCTTTTGACAAAACGGGTACAGATGATTCTCAATAAATGAACATTTTAAATGTTCAGCAATACAAACAAATAAGCTGTCCAACTCCATAGCTCATCTGGTGCATCTGTCTGGTGCCATCTCTGTCACGCTCTTTTCTCATATTGAGTTGTACAGGTGAGGCAAGGCTTGGTAGCACATAACTAATGTGGAAAAGCAATGTGAAAATGATTCTACTTAGTTGTCTGTTTCGTAGTGGGAATTCATTGTGCGAGTAGAGTTTTGCAAAAAGTCACTCCAGTGGTCAAAAAAGTTGCTAACAGTGACCAAAGTGCCATTGTGAACTTAGCAATTATCTTTTAAAGTGTATAATATATTTAGCACCACATCTCTGAATTCACTTTAAGATGCCTTAAAGATGCCCTGCGATTGGCTGGCAACCTATTCAGGGTGTCCCCCGCCTACTGCCCGAAGACAGCTGGGATAGGCTCCAGCATCCCCCGCGACCCTAGTTAGGAAAAAGCGGTTCGGAAAATGAATGAATGAATGAATGTCTTTATGAATTTGCTGAAAAAGTGTAATGATTTAAAAACAACAACAACAACAAAACAGACGTTTGACATGAATTTGCTGGTTGCAGACTGCTCAAAGGCACAACATTCCATTGGGACTTAGTGCTGACCGGACTCATCAACATCCTCATGTCCTGTCTGGGGTTGCCATGGATGCATGCCGCCTTCCCACATTCTTCACTGCACGCCCGTCAGCTGGCCAAAATGGAACAACATGTGGAGAACGGCCACGTCTACACCACGTGCGTCAACCTTAAAGCCCAAGGAAACAACACGGAGCAATCACTCAAATCATGAAGCCCTTTAAAAACAACACTCAAATCAGAGCCTTTTTCTCTTGGATGGGAAAAAAAAACATCCCTGAGATTTTATGATTTTTTTAATTAAATGGCAGGCCAAGTCAAATGCTCTCGTGGTCCACATCGGGCCCACGGGCTGTAGATAGCTCACCATTAGATTCAATATTCTTACATCCTGGTCTGGAATAACTATTTATGTATTATTTTTATTATTATTATTCGTAGTAGTATTGTGATTATTATTATTATTATTATTATTATAATTATCAAATGACAAAATATTGTGATTTGTCATAAATGTACAAGACAAATCACGTCAGGAAGAAGAACAAGCAAAATACTGAATGGAAAGCTCCCTTCCTTTTCAGTAAAATACTATAAATGTGGTATATAATGAATACAATATTTTATCAACTTAAATTTTTTTACAAAAATACTGTACTCTCATACCTGATATGTGCAGTGTTTATTTTTTCACTGACATCATCAAAAATGAAAAAAAATCAATTTCAAAATATCCATCCATAATGTAACGTATTATTTTATTGGCAATGACTTCTCATGCCGAGTATAAAAATGACCATGAAAACCAGTTATTTTTGCATATATATATATATATATTTAAGTATTGTTAAATTAAAATGTTACATACAGCTTTATATATGTGTATATACGTACTTTGTATCTGTAAATATATACTGTCTTTTTATAGTATCTATATCTATCTATCTATATATATATAGATAGATAGATACTATAAAAAGACAGTATATAAAAAAAATATATATATATATATATATATATATTTTTTTTTTGAAAAAAAAAAAACAATAACAGCAATCCGTGTTGAGATTGTATGTGTGCCAAAATATGCAACAGATAAGTAGTTACACCAAAACAAACTGACTGAAAAAATAATGGTGATGAAAACCTTGAGTGAGGTAAAAACAAAACATGTTTTTGGAACACACCGTGGTTAGTGATCATCTTGATTGTGTCGAAATGCTGGAAATGAGCATGTCAAGGACTTCATGCATGCTTTGTTTTGTCAAAATGTCTCACAGTATCATCAGCGTAAAGGAAACGCGTCTGACCTCGCTGGTCGCCAACATCCTGATCGGCCTGTCCGCCTTCATGCTTCCCATTCCTCTCCAGTGGATTCCCAAGCCTGTCCTCTACGGGCTCTTCCTCTACATCGCTGCTACGTCACTAGACGGCAACCAGATGGTGGACCGCATGGCTCTGCTGCTGAAGGAACAGGTGTGCAAAAATCAGCCTGTATGGATTGAATTTCCATCTTTTTCTTCCATGTACTGTCGAATGATAGGCGGACCGGTGATCAACTGGTTATCGCATCGGGCTTAGAGTGTAGAGGTGTAGGGTTTGATTCCAGCTCCGGCCGTCCTGTGTGGAGTTTGCATGTTCTCCCCGGGCCTGTGTGGGTTTTCTCTGGGTACTCCGGTTTCCTCCTACAGTCTGAAGACATGCACGGCAGGCTGATTGAACACTCTAAATTGTCCCGAGGTGTGAGTGTGAGCGTGTATGGTTGTTCGTCTCTGTGTGACCTGCGATTGGCTGGCAACCGGTTCAGGGCGTCCCCCGCCTACTGCCCGAGGACAGCTGGGATAGGCTTCAGCACTCCCCGTGACCCTTGTGAGGATGAAGCAGATCGGAAAATGAATGAATGAATGAATGAATGAATGAATGAATGAATGAATGAATGATAGTCAAAATGATGCCGGTCATATCCTCGATCTTGTGGCCCCAGTGCAAGCGGACCCTTTTCTGACCCCACTTGAATAAAATTGCCAAGAAGTCATTGCAAGAAAGCCTTTGTCTTCCTCCATGGCTGTTGTTTCTTGGTCTTTTTGATACAATATGTTCAGTGGTGATTGCAGTCTGGTATCAGGAGCTGAAAAGCAGCTTGTAACCATTTCACTTTCGTTAATATAGACGTCCTATCCTCCCACCCACTACATCCGCCGTGTGCCCCAGAGGAAAGTGCACTACTTCACCGGGCTGCAGATGATCCAGCTCATCATCCTGTGTGCCTTTGGCATGTATCCTCTGCCCTACATGAAGATGGTCTTCCCCCTACTGATGATCTTGCTCGTCCCTGTCAGGTGAAAAGAGCTAGAATTACACTTCTTTACCATTTAAGTCGTGTGTAAAATGTTTTGGGTGCTGAACGAACACATCAGACCATTCTGGCCTGTCTCCATCTAAATAATACGGTTTGTCTGGTCAAAGTCAACTTCAGGATTTAGCTAACAGCTCTTCTATTGGAATAGAGAGTTGTCTTGCTTCCCCCTCCTCTACCATTGTTGAGTGCCTGGCTATCTGTCATGAAACGTTTGAGATGTCACTTCTCAGAACCTGACTGACATTTGCTCGTTTATGAATATGGACTTTTATGCTGTAGCTATGTGTTTTGTTTCTGTAAATGTCCCGAAGGACATTGTTCATTGTTTGTAAATGACAGTATATGTAAATGAGCAGATATATGTTTGCATTTTCTCTTGACATGAATGGACTGCTTAAAGTGACAGAGAGACATTTGAATGATGACTATAATTCGAATGGACAGACGGACATTTTAATTGTGTTTCACTGGACAGACTCTCATTTCCATAATCTGCATATGCAAATGTAATGACTGATGTTGGTATTATGTGCATGCAAACGGAAAGACTATTCATTCGTGTGTGTGTGTGTGTGTGTGTGAGAGAGAGAGTGTGTGTTTGTGTGTGGGTGTGTGGGCACGTGCGTAGATGGACAGGCATGTTTGCATTTTCTGTTCATATTATGAATAAACATTTTCATTATGTATTTTATGTAAATGGAACAGAGATATTTGCATTATCAGTGTGCACAAAAGCACTTTATTGTGTGTATGGACGTGTTTAAATAAGCAACCTTGAATTTTTTTAGACCGGTATTTCTATTTGACATTGATAATATTCTCTCTGTGTGTTTTGCTTCAGGACCAGCTTACTTCCGAGAATTATTGACGCCAAGTATCTGGACATCATGGACTCGCAGCACATGTAAAACAAGAGAACATTAAAAAAAATATTATATATATACACACACACACACACACACACACACACACACACACACACACACAAAATGAAGGTAATAGACTCTTAATTTATCTGCATCCATTCATCCATCCATGATCTGAGCCGCTTCTGCATTTGCTCATTAAAAATCAACATAATTATCGTAATCAGTGTTTACTGCTTCACCAACCTTTTTCTGTAAGCTAATCAGTCACGAGTGAGCACGAGTATCCACACACAAAAAGTGCTGATGTAATTATTCTGAAAACTATAACAATTAATGTCTTTTCTGTTTTATTACGTGTATTTTGTATTTGACTGTTTTTAAACATATGACATTTTTTATTTGAACCTCACTTGTGCAATACAAATTGTTGTAGTGACGTTTTGGTAGAATAAATTAGTTCATCATTTAAACCAATCTCAGAATCCGGTTGTTACTCCCTTTTTTTGGTTCAAAATGTTACAATTTAAGGATGTGTGTAATGTGATGATGTATGCTATCAGGTAGAGAATTGGCTCAATGCAGCTGCGACCTGAGCATTAAACTGTCAACAAACGAAGCCCTTCCACTGAATTCATCGTCTGTTTGCGATTAATTTGACTGAGCAAAAAACACGCTGCCTGGGATGGGAGTGTCATGTGAAACAGCTCCAATAGATGGCAGTACAAGACAAGCAGCTGGATGTTGACCGTAGCGGAACGCCACAGAGGTATTGCTCAGAAAAGGAGCAAAAATGATCCCAGTTTTGCATCATCTGTTACTAAAGTGAAGGCCAGGCAGCCTTGGATTTAACTGGCAGATGCTCCGTTCCATTGTGTTTCCTCACACATCAAATGTATGAAATAAATGACCCTCAATCCCCAATTTTCACACCTGCAGTACTCTAGTAAAATAAAACGAGCATCTGTGGAACTCTGCATCATTAAAGCGCGGTGCACACATATCGACAAGCGCCCCCCCCCCACACACACACATTAATGAATAAAACATTAAAACGGATTATTTGATAGATCTGAAAGTATGTCTTTTGTGATTATGCTGTTGTGCGTCTGTCATCTTGAGTACACTGCACACAATAAATGCAATAAGAAAGCTATCACGTGTTTTTTGACTTATGACGAGGGGTCCCTGGCATTTTACAATGGTAAACATTGCTTTAGTTGTTCAAGTGAGATGTGTCAACCACATTGAATGAGCCATCATGTCACACAAGAATTTAAAGGATTATCCCTACTCATGAGTCTTGCTTTTTCTTTGGCTTTTTGTGTTATTTTTTTAATGTCACAGCAGAGAGTACCAGTGTGATGTTGAAGAGGAAAGTAGATGACAAGCACAGAACAAGACCAACACATAGGTCTCCATTTCCATTATCCATCCTTCCTTCCATCCATCCATCCAGCCGCTTGTGTATGTAAATGGAATGCATGATAAGGCAGATGTTTGCATTCTGTACATATATAGGTAGAATTTAAACTGAGACATTTCTACTGTGTGTGTTTGATTGTATAGAAATGTAATTGGACAGATGAATAAATGGACATAAAGACATTTTCTTTCATTAGGTGTGTCTGTGTGTAATTGCACATGTGTACATGCTAAGTCCCTAATTTATCACAGGGTTACCTTCCAGGTAGATCTGCAGGAAAGCAATCATATTAATATTATTATATAATTTGTATTTTAAACCTTAATTATACAATGGTGCTGGCTTTCTGCATGTGTCGTGAGCTTGGCTTTCTAGATGGGATTTAGCTGTTGCATGTGGGGGATTCAAGAGTTGTCACCATGACGATTTGTCCAATTAAATATGCCATTTTTCCCCTCCTTATTAATCCTGGACCCCCGGTATAGAAAATGTCCTCTTGAAGTGAGGTGGAGGATAATAACAGTGCTCTTGTCTTGGCTGTGGGTTTGCGCCACATTTCTAGTGTCTCCTCTTGAGTGTTTTCTCGACAATATGTCATCCTGCCCACACATATGGGAAGTGCTCGCGCAAATACTGGATCCACGATTAGGCACTGTGGTGTATTGGATTAAAAAAAGAAAAAGAAAAAAGGAATAGAAAAACAAAAAAAAAAAAGGAACCAGTGGCAAATTTTGCTTTTACATGCCCGGTTTTGAATAAAACATTGTTTTCTGCTAGCAGAAAAAAAAACAAAAAAAAACAAACAAACATAAAAATGAGTAGTATTCAGAAGTGTCTCCAAAGTGGGACGCAATTCTTTTTTGGACTTCCAAGTTGTTCCAATTTCAAAAACAATTCCCCATCAGAAATAATGTAAAGGTAATTAATTCATTCCATCGTGAATACTTAAAGTGTAACATGAAGTTAACCACTGTCGAACAAAACTTAAAGTAAAACTTCTCTTCTGAAGACGCCCGGCAGACACAATGAAAATGCCACGAGATGATGATGATGTTTGCCAGAGTGATACTGTCACCTACTGGCATTTTATAGGAATTGCTGGAATGCAAACTTTTGTGTTGTAGTGAATAGATATATAGATAGATAGAATTTACCATTTCTAAAATGTTTGGGTCATTCATTTCACGCAATCGATGTTCATCATAACCATTTCATCATTGCGTAAAATGGGTTCAATGGAAGATGACAAGGCATATTCCACAACGCAGGCTTTTATCATCGGTGCTCGGGCAACAACTGTGTAACACCTTCTGACAAAAGTCAGCTCAAAATAAAAGCAAGCAGTTTATCCACACTTTCTTGGGCCACACGATGGCCTATTTAGCCAGCACACTCAATTGACATGTCCCAGATAGTTTGAGTGTGACTACTAAATAATCCAGCATTTTTGAAAAGGAAGAGATCTACATCTCATCAAGTACTTATGTGTACTGTACTTATCTATTTATACACCTTTCTATATATATATATATATATATATATATATAATTTATGCTTTTAAGGCCTGACTTCTGACAGGATGTGTAATGCCAGTGTTGCCCGAGGTTTGAAAATAATGTTAACAGTTCCTATAGATTGGCCTCGAAGGAATTTATTGGCTTTACCCGATGTGACCTATGTTTTCCATGTGATTCAGTTGTAGTTTTTTCGTGGAACAGACATATTTGCAGTATGTCATTGCAACCAATCCGCCTAGAGGTTGACATCGGGACCAGAATAATATGAGTGACAGCATCCCCAGAAAGAAAGAATTCAACTGTGAGGGTTCGCTTTGAATAAGGACCACTTGTATGTTCCTGCGATGATGATGATGATGATGATGATGTCAGTATGCATTAAGACCCATCAGGTAGATTGGTGACTGCTGTGCTGACTCACGACAGAGAATGGAGCTGTTTGAAGTCAATGCATAAACACACACACACACACACACACACACACACACACACACACACACACACACACACACACACACACACACTCACACACGGGCTGCTGCTGCCGGAAGAGTCCGCACAGCAAAGTGAGCTCGATACAAAACTGTATATCAACACATACTTGACCACCGAAACCAGAGGGCCAACATTTTTTTGGTTCATGGCCAAATTTGATTGAGGCAAGAAAAAAAAAGTGAAACTGTCTAAAATATGTAAAATAGTTCATTTTTTAAATAATAATTAAAGTATCTTAAAAAAAATTAGATTCTATTTATTTTAAACTTACGCAAGCATGAACCTGCAAATGTGGAGGAAGCATTTTCGACTGGTCAATGTGGTTCGCAGGTTCGATTGTGTGCCCTGTGAGTGGCTGGCAACTGGTTCAAGGTGTCCCCTGCCTACTGTCCGAAGACAGCCGAGATAGGCTCCAGCACGCTCCGCCACCCTTGTAAGGATAAGCGGATCGGAAAATGGATGGATGGATGGGTTATTAAAGGTAAGGTAGAACAACCAGTGTGTGTTCCACTTGGGGGATTCCACTTCCTGACCTTCCAGCTACCATTTACAACATCCAGCACGATCGCAATTAGTACATGAATAAAACAACAGCGCTTAATAAATTCTTTATGGAAATGAATAATGGAATACGCTGCTTGCAAAAGTAATCCATCGTTTTTACATCTGCACACCTCAATTCAATTAGGTTCATGTTCCTCTGTCAACCTTCAAAAGCAAGAGCGCCATTTGTCACATGACCTACAGTTTTGTCAAAGCCTCTGAAAAATATAGAAAAGGGGAAATTTCTATTATGATTCAGAAATGATAGCCATCATTTCCCCAAGTTTGTTGAAAGGTTGCTTCCATTATCGTATAAGAGAACACATTAAGATGCAAAAGAGATCTGCTTTTACCCGGGAGCACTTCTACTCACTTCCAGCAAAGTAGCCTGCGGGAGAAAGCCTATCGTCGCTGCCTTGTGAAAAACACGGATGTCCATCCGATTTTTAAAAATGTTTACATTTATGGAGTCTCCGCGTTTTGGACATCCCATGAATGTAAAATGTAAAAAAAATGACAAAAATGAACATACATGTTTTTTACAGGACAATGACGATAGTGAAGAATCACAAGAGAAACAAACACAAGGAGCACGTATAATTTGGAATTTGCCTCTAAAATCTCATACAAAACATCGGAATTATGTTATATGTGATGACATTAAACGCATGTTGCAGTTTCTTTTGCATTCCTTTGCCTGTTGACAACATTTTGCAGTTCAGGCACAGTCACAGCTCCCTGAAAGCTCATGAAAAAGCGTTTTGCAACTCAATGCAAGAAGAAAATAAAACAAAATGTCATCCATTTTTTACTTGCAGGAAATACTTTTCGAAAGCCACAGATGGGACCTGGCTTTTTTTTTTTTTGCATCAAATAAGACTTCAAGAAGACCAATTGCGACGCAGGGCGGCAGAGGCCATGATCAGAGGACAAGCACCATTGAAGACCTAACGACCCGTGAGCCAATCACACATCTGCAGACCTCTTTCTACTTTAGCAAAGCCCGTGGGGGACACCGGCCGACTTGATGCTTTCATTCTTTGAGCCAACAATTCTAATTAGCAGGGAAAAACTGCGGCAGCCTTGTTTACATCCATAAATAATGCATTTCAC